ATACATATATACATATATAAATATACATACATATATATATATATTATACATATACAATTATATACAGTATACATATACAAAACATGTACAAATATCCCTATCGTGATAACTCCAACTTAAGTCTTCTATCAAAAGCCCAGTCACAGGGTCATCAGAGACCAGGCGCTGGCCTGGAACTCCGGAGCCATCTCCTAAAGGAGTACTATAGGGTTCTATTAAGGTTTAGGGTTTAGGGTTTAGGGTTTAGGGTTTAGGGTTTGGGGTTTAGGGTTTAGGGTTTAGGGTAGGTTCCCTTTACGGGTTTTGGGTTTAGGGTCCACATAGAAGATCATAAACGGTATACCCGAAAGTTAAGGGGTCATAACCTACTGTTTTCTAGGTTTTGGGGCTACCGGTAATGCGCTGCTTTCAGGGCGGCTTCGGATTTGCGGCTTGGGGTTTAAAGGTTTGGGGTTTGGGGACGAAGGATGTTAGGGTTCAGGGATTAGGGTTTCGGGTGTAAAGAGTGGCAATCTTAGGGATTAGATCTTGTGGCTCAATGAAGGCTGAGACCCTGGAACAACCCTCTCCTGTTTGTACCCGGTATTCGCGATCTTGTTTACGATTGCCCTTGCAGCAGTCTTGGCGGTTGTGTGCTTGGCGAGGCATTCAGTAAACAAGAGTTCTGGAAATGGGACCGGCGCGGGTGTCGTCGGCACTGACCTGTGACAGGGCTTGCAGCTTGGGTCCTATGTCGGTCTCTCTCTCTCTCTATGCCCGTGTTACCCTCTCTCAGCCTTAAGCCCTCAACCATAATGCAGTCATCAAGGAACCCTGACCTTATAACCTCAAAAATCTTGGGGGTTATACAAAGCCTTTGTTTGACCCAGGGTTTCTTAGTCAGGCTCCGATATTAGACCTCCCTATGCTGACTGATTGTGGACTCTCTGCCTTCTTGCGAATCTACCTCCATCTGACCGCAAACCAGAACCTGCTTGGAGGATCTTGGGACTTAGTAAGCAGGGTTACAAGTACCAAAATTGGGGTTGCAGGTAATGACACAAGTATAGTTACCTTATTTATAATCTCAGTTACTAAGTCCCATGATCCTTTAAGTAAAGCCACACGCCACGAGGTCTGTCATCGCAGTCTCCACTTACAACACGGCAATACCTGGATACTACTTGGAGGGTCGGGGACTTAGTAACTCGTTGTTTTATAGACTTATAAGTATCATAACCCCAATTAAGGTCCCTTTCAAACAACTTGTAAGTCCACTTATTACCTACTTACTAAGTCCCCCGACCCTCCGCGTACCGAAGGGCATGAGACCCTTTCAAGGCCAAGGGTTATTTCGGGGCGGCTCTTGACAGGGCCTTCGTCAGATTCGGCCCTAAACTCTACGCTACCCCGAAACCCTCTACCCTAAACCCTAAACCCTAAACCCTAAAACTCCTAAACCCTAAACCCTAAACCCTCAACCCTATGTGATCCGGCCTGCGACGACGCGAAATTGTGGGAAGGCGTTCTGGCAGCTCCTCCTCATCCTCATCCTCCAGATCGTCCTGTGGGTCCTGCAGGAATCGAAGAACCTGAAGAAACCCGTGGTGCTAGGGTTTAGGGTGTAGGGAAGGTTTAGGGTTTAGGGTGTAGGGTTTAGGGTTTAGGGTGTAGGGTTTAGGGTTTAGGGTGTAGGGTTTACGGTTTAGGGTGTAGGGAGGGTTTAGGGTCTAGGGTGTAGGGTTTAGGGTTTAGGGTGTGGGGAGGGTTTAGTAGGGTGTAGTGAGGGTTTAGGGTTTAAGGTGCAGCGAGGGTTTAGGGTTTAGGGTGTAGCGAGGGTTTAGGGTTTAGGATGTAGCGAGGGTTTAGGGTTTAGGGTGTAGCGAGGGGGTTTAGCGTTTAGGGCGTAGGGAGGGTTTAGAGTTTAGGGTGTAGGGAGGGTTTAGGGTTTAGCGTGTAGGGAGGGTTGAGGGTTTAGGGTGTAGGGTGTAGGGTTAATGTCTCATTCGAATTCACAGGAACCACAATACACTAAACCCTAAATAAGAGAACCTGGCATTCGCATTAAGGCTTTCAGCATGGATCCCTGTTTGGGGATTTGGAAGCATCGGCTCCTCCAAAGACTGGGGAGCTCGGGTGCAGACCCCTACATTGCAATACTTTGGGGCCTCGGGCGTACCCGAAATATCCTGGGTGGCCGAACACTTTTCTACTATATGGTGGGCTTTCGAAAGTGTACCTGCTAGAGGTGAATGGGTTGCTTTCTCTATGCTCTAAACACCTAACACCCTAAAACCCTAGACCCTAA